TAGAGATAGAATGAAGCAGAATGATGAAAAAGGGGTCCCTATGTCCTCCAGCAGTCTAAGCCTATAGCAGCAGAACTATAGAGATAGATCAGGATAACCTGAGACACTCTAACTATATCCAGCAACAGTTTTCAAACCCAAAGCCAAAAATTCTAACAGTTACGAAGAACGTAGAGTTTGGTGGATCGCCCTGATCCGGTCGTTAAACAGCAGAAATGGCTGCGGGTGGAGAAAATGCCGCGCCTATGACGCTAGTTGAGCCCACAGACTGACCTGTCCTCCTTGGATCTTCATCAGATGTTTGAGCAGAACCTGCAGGTGGCGGCCCAGATCAACGGCGACTTCAAGGAGGAGGTTCTGAAGCTGTGTCTGAAGCAGATGAACTCCTTCCTCATGAGGTAATCCTTCCAGCACCCTGACCGTCTGTCTGCTAATGCAGGAGCGCGGCGCTCACAGCTGTTCCTCGCAGGTACCGCGAGGAGGTGGTGGCCTACAAGGAGGAGCACCTGAAGGACCGACAGCTGCCTCAGTGCTACATCCAGTACATGATCGCCATCATCAACAACTGCCAGACCTTCAGGTGACGCTTCAGGGCGGGTCCGGCAGGGGGCGGGTCCGGCAGGGGGCGGGTACTAGACGGTTCTCAGAGACGGTTCTAGGTATTCTGTTCAATCGTTGCTCTGCTCTGCGTTCATCAGGGATTCCATCAACAGTCTAAAGAGGAAGTACTCGCAGTCCTCGGAGTCCTTCGACAGCGATGCCGCCATCGACAGGACCCTGGGGGAGGTGGTGAAGGAGGGCTGCCACTTCCTGCTGGACGAGGTCTTCTTGGACCTGGAGGTAAGAGCTGAACTGCAGCAGGCGTCCATTTCCCTCCTGGCTAGCTAGCTAGCTGCTAACCTTTGGTTCCACCTAAACCAGAACCACCTGAATGAGCTGCTGACCAGGAAGTGGCTGACGGGTTCTCACGCCGTGGACACCATCTGTGTGACGGTGGAGGACTACTTCAACGACTTCAACAAGGTCAAGAAGCCCTTCAACGAGGTAAGACCGAAGCGTGAGCTCCACCTGCTGGTCAGGAGCTCCACTGAGCGCTGCCGGCGTTGCGTTTGCAGGAGATGACCAACGAGGCGCTGAGGAGGGTGGTGGTGGAGTACCTGAAGGCCGTGATGCAGAAGAGAATCACCTTCAAGAACGCCGACGAGAGGAAAGAGGGAGCAGAGAGGATGATCAAGGAGGCCGAGCAGTTCAGGTTCCTGTTCAACAAACTGGCAGCGGTGAGTTCCTGCAGGGAGCAGGAGGAGGAGGAGGAGCGGGCCGCTGGGGGGGCAGCAGGAGGAGGAGGAGCGGGCCGCTGGGTGGGCAGCAGGAGGAGGAGGAGGCTACTGGGGGAGGAGGAGGAGGAGGAGGAGGAGCGGGCTGTTTGGGGCGGAGCAGGAGGAGGAGGAGGAGGAGCGGGCTGCTGGGGGCGGAGGAGGAGGAGGAGGAGGAGGAGGCGTCTGCAGGGAGGAGAGAACAGGACGGAGGAGGTCTGTAGGTCGGCGCTGATGGCGGCTGCTTCTCTCCTGTAGGGCGAGAACACGGAGCGGCTCTGCGGCGCCATCGCTGCCGTGGCCGAGGTCTTCAAGCTGACTGACCCCACGCTGCTGTTCCTGGAGGTCACGACCCTGGTCTCCAAATACCCAGACATCAGGTGAGCCCAGCGTCCACGCCATCATCAGGTCGGCCTTGAAGCATCCTCCGCCCTGTGATGTAACCTGCTGGTTCTGGTTCTGGTTCTGGTTCTGGTTCTGGTTCTGCAGGGAGGACCACATCCAGGCGCTGCTGGCTGTGCGCGGAGACGCCAGCAGGGAAATGAGGCAGATGATCATCGGGACCCTCAGCGAGAACAAAGTGTCGCCCTCTGGTTCCACTCAGCCCATTTTCAAAGACATTACTGTTCCCACCATCACCATGACAACCATGACCACCATGACCTCCATGGCAACCGCCAAGCTGCTGAAATAAAGCCAGCTTTCTGTGACCAACCCATCCCAGTAACTCCCACTGGTTCTGACTGGTTCTGACTGGTTCTTCTGCTCTGGATGGGAACGTTCTGTGGTTCTGGACCGGAACCGCAGAACCTTAGGTGGGTCCAACAAGTTGATGGAACCTCTGAACCCACCTGAGAAGATGTTGTTCAGGTTCTCCACGGCAACGGCCAGTTTAACCAGTGGAAGGCTAACGTGCCGTTAGCCCCCAGAGGCTAAAATCCTAGCCGGTCCATTCTGACAGGAACAGTCCAGTACTCCCATTAAACCAGTAAGGCCTGAACACTCCCACTGCGTATAGAGAGGCTCTGACTGGGCAGGATCAGCAGATCTACGCTGATGTTTTTCACTTCTATCTGCTTTATCACTACATTACAATAATTTCTCACATTTGACTGAAAGTTATTAAAAATAAATGAAATAAAAAACTACCGTCTCATTCTATAGAGCAAAGCTCTACTTAACGAGTCTGTTCAGCATCTAGAACCAGAACAATCAATCAATCAACTATTTCCATTGAGGTTTCAGTTCAAACTGCTACACAGGAGGAGGGGGGGGGGGCAGTTCTTCTGTGCCCTTCCGCTTTACATCCAGGTGAGACTTGATAAAGCGCCCAGATAGCCGCTGACATCCTCTTCCATTGTAGATCCATCAGGTTTCCTCAGAATCCCAACAGGAGAAATCAGAGAATCATAAAACCAAAAATCCGCACATCTTCTCCATCCTCCACTGAAACACTCCAGAAATAGCGTTTAGTTCCAGGTTTATCCAGCAGCCCAACAAAGCCTGGTTTTAGTTTAGAAAACATGCAAATAGAAACGGATGAACGGGTCCCCCCCTTTGGAATGGGGGTCGTTTGGCTTCTTTGTTAGCCTGCAATGCCCCATACCTGTCTATGTCTCTGAAAGGGGGGGCGTTAGAGGGAATTGTTGGCCTGGCTGAATAGGTGAGGTCTTCTGTTCTCCTGTAAAGGGGGTGGAGCTGCGATGATGGCGGGAAGGAATCAACTCTATTGCTGCATTGGAGGTTTTTGAAAGCTGAAATCTGAGGTCATGTGTGAGAAAGTTCTTTATGCAGGGGGTGGGTTGGTTCCCCTGGGGGGGGATTTTGTAAGGTATAAATGTATGTAGTGAAATGCTGCAGTCAGAGCTCTATTTCTCTCTCTGAGGATGTTAAATAACTTTTAACCTCTTTTCTTGCAATCTTTCCTCGGCTTCATAACTTCCCACCGTTTTAAATCAGTTCTGAGAAACGACCATTTAACAGATTTACGGTGAGAATTACTGACGTCACTGTTAGGAAATATTAACGAGCTCCTTATTTCAGACTGAATAGAAAATGTTTTACTGATAGATGAAATATTAACTGCATTTATTAGCAGGTATGTGTCCCAATATTTTTGTGTCTGGAAGGTTAGGAACTGGACTCATTTATTCAGTGACGTTGGGTTGCTGATGCTGAGGTTTTTATGTGTAAGGTTATATTTATCCAGGTCCAAAGCTCAGAACCAGAGCAGATCTTTGAGCAGAAGGTCTTCCTGGGTTTGCTGCTGCCTTCATGCACTGACCTACCAAAGGTTCTGGGTCTCAGAACCGAATCCAAGACGTTCCATCACTTCCGACGCTGCATGAAGATGGTTCGGTGGGCAGGAACCCGTCTGATTGTCTGCATCACCTCAGAATGAGATATCAGTCCAGCTGGATGTATCTATGGATGATGAGGTCCACCTAGAAGAACAGAGAGGATGATTAAACAAATGTAAGTTGATCATTCGTCTCTTTGGAGACTAAGTTTAGGTAAAGAATGAAGAGGCTTCAGAGAGAGGAAGAAAACCTGGATGGTTAAAGATGGACGACAGGATCCCTTCCAAACCGCCATGGGACATTACTGGATCAACCTGAAGGTTTGGGAGGATGGAGGGTCCTGAAGGTCTCAGCATGTTCCAGTTGTCACATCTGTTTGTGAGGCTGTGAATGATTCTGTAGGATGTCTGAGCAGAGAACCATTTCCCCCCCGTTAGCAGGATTGAATTATGTCAAATCATCAAACGGCTGAGTTTCCTCCTCAGAGTCCTGCTAATGACCTGATGATTGGATTCTGGCGCGTTGAAGCAGAGACACATCTGAGCCGTGCAGGACACCGGACCTCTGAGACTGGAATTAAACGACCCTGATGGCTCCACATCTGATGAGCTTGGTTCAGTTCACTGCCCACCAGTCCGTTCCACAACGCCAGCGTTGGAATCATCCGCTTGGTTAAAGGAAAAGTCGCTCATATTCATCAAACTTCTGAAAGTTCTTTAAATCTGAAATGATTCCATCCTGTTCAATA